TCCCTTCCCTTCCCCCATGGTCTTCTGTTAAGTTTCTCAAATTCCACATATGAGTGAAAACATATGGTATCGGTCTTTGACTGACTTATTTCACTCAGCATAACACCCTCCAGTTCCAGCCATGTTGTTGCAAACGGCCAGATTTCATTCTTTCTCATTGCCAAGTAGTATTCCATTGTATATATAAACCACATCTTCTTTATCCATTCGTCAGTTGATGGACATTTGGGCTCTTTAAAATTTTTTAAGTGTATTTATTTATTTTGAGAGAGATGGAGAGCGTGCGAACAGGGGAGGGGCAGAGAGAGAGGGAGTATCTCCAGCAGGCTTCGCGCTGGCTGTGAGCGCACAGCCTGGCACAGGGCTGCAGCTCACAAACTGTGAGACCATGACCTGAGCCAAAATCAAGAGTTGGACGCTCAACTGACTGAGCCACCCAGGCATCCCATGTTTTTCCAGCTTTTATCAAGTGTTTGGCAGAGGGTAACAGTCATTCCCAGGATATCATTTAATGCAACATGAATTCAACTAACATTTGCTATCCCAGCTATATGCCAAGGACTGTGCTGAACTTTGGGGGTAAAATATTGAGTAGGAGGTAACCAGTTCTTTAGGAGCCCACAGCCTAGAGGGGTTTTGGACATAGGCAGACAGGAGATAGTATGGCATTTGCTGTCGTAGGGGGAAATAATGGGAGTGTGTGGGAGAGTTAATCAATGTTGAGTATGTGGAGGCAAGAATACCTTAAAAAAAAAAGGCAACTCTCCTGTCACCTAATCGTTCACATGTAACCTCTCTCTCCAGCTTCATACTTGCCCGAAAAGCAGACCGACTTGCCAAGCTCCATAAAGAAATCAGGTAAGAATCGACATTGCAAACCTACACGAAAGGTTAGCTTTATATTGTGCTTGTTGCACTAACAACAGTCTGACGGCATCATGAAAAACACCACAGTCCACGAGTATTCTCAAAAACGCAACAAATCAACCTTGTGGCAAACTTTTGGTTATAGCCCCGTGGACTCAGTGCTTGCCCACATGCGTATATTAATTTAGTTTTACATATTTGGGTTTATTTTGCAGCGGTGGAGAAGTAGGGTTTCTCTGCAGGAGAGATGGAGGAAATATGATAGGAAACACTAGCTGTGCAAAAAGCTTGAGGCTGAGTCCTGCTCACCTTGTGAGACCATTAGCCCTTTGACATGGTTCTCAGATTAGCCCTTTGACGTGGTTCTCGGACGGGCGTATCCTTTTTCTGGAAGGCAAATGCATAGGTGTGTTTCAGCGTGTTGCGACTTGTGTGCATGTGTCCCCCTTTGTTTATCTAGCATGCAGCTCTGATGTTCCCTTCGATAGCTTCCTACTATAACAAACACAGTCATTTTAGGACAGTGGCTTTTTTTTCTTTCTTTCTCCCTTTCTCTTTCTGCCATGTTGTATTCGCTTTATTTTGCCTTGGAATCCTTTCCTTCATTCAAATAAAATCTTACCAGGAACTCTTCCCTGGAAATAGTCATTTGGCTATTGGGGGGTTGCCTCGGGGAATTTCTGGGCTTCCCTTCTCGAGGGTAGCCCTAAATCCTTTGTTAGGGGACCAGTTTGCACACGCGTACACTTCTCTCTGCGTTTAATTGAAACAAATTAAGCAGCAAATGCACAAGCCGCCTTTGCTGTGAGAGTTACTTCGATGACTTTGGGATTCAGGCTGCAGAGGTTCCCACATTTGCACACGAATGTGTTTATTTGAATTACCATGAGCTCTGATTTCGGGAAGGAAACCGTTGTCCACCTACTCAGTCAACAGAGGAAGAATTTGGGGTCCAGTGACAGGGAATGGTTTGTCCAAGTCTCCACAGCTAGCTTGCGACAAAGTTAGAAATAGCATCTAACGCATGCGTTTTTTTCATTACGCCACACTAAGCTTGACATTTTCTTTTGGATTTCCTGCTTTCCCTCCTTATTAATAGTAAAATAAATACCAGCCTGGATGTAGACATTTGGTTATGATTCCACATGGTGGCTGAGCTTCTCAAAAGTTTTTATGAGGCACAACCCTTAGAACTCTGAATATGTCATTGACTGGAGCAAGTTTCCCAGACCTGACTGTCTCAAAATCTACCAGGAAAATATATTTGGAAAATATATGTTTTTGAGGCTGGTAGATTACGATTTTTGGTAGCTTAGCGGTGGGGCCTGAGTATTTTGTATTTTTTAACAAGCTTTTCTTTTCATTGCTTTTCTTTTTATTTTTTGAGAGACAGGGAGAGAGAGCATGAGAGGGGAGGGGCAGAAGGAGAAGGAGAGAGAGAATCTCAGGCAGGCTCCCCGCTCAGCATAGAGTCCAGCACAAAGCTCGATCCCATAACCCTGGGATCATGGGTGAGCTGAAATCAAGAGTTGGATGCTTAACTGTCTGAGCCACCCAGGCACCCCTTTTAACAAGCTTTTTAAATAATTATGATGAGCAGCCAGATTTAGAAACCAGTGAGTAAATACAACTACAAGAGATTTGCACACTGACCTCTATTGGCCATCATTTAAATTATGTTCTATTACTTTTAAAGTCCAACTAATCAGTGCATTGCTCTAACATTTTTGACTTATGTAACTTTTCCAAAATTTTTAAGTTAAAAAAAAATTTTTTAATCAGAAATTTCTTTAGAAGTATTTATTTATTGGGGTGCCCGGGTGGCTCAGTCAGTTGAGCATCCGACTTCAGCTCGGGTCATGACCTCACGGTTCGTGGGTTC